ATTTGTTAGAGACTGTTCTTCTTCAGCGCTCTGGTTTTCTTTTCTAAGCATCTTCTTAATTTTTAGGGTTTCAAACTCCAACTCAATGAACACATGTTTCGTTGTAACATTTCTTGATTAAGTTTTTTTTTTTTTTCGAAACAATTGGATACAGAGAGCATATTCACATATTGTCATATCCACATGTAACAACAGTCAAATTATATTTTTGTTGATTGCAAGGATAGGTGCTTTTACACTAAACTTTCTGTAAAATTGTTGAAGAACCAAAAGGAATCTGATACCCAACACCAAGCAAGAAGTGAATAGAAACCAAAAGGAAGATGCGCATACGATGAATTAATTGACTATTTTTAGAATTCAGCCTCGATATGGAAGATGCGCATACAATCTGACCCTGCGAGAAATTTTAATTGACAAGAATTCTAAGAAATTGAACATTGTATCATATGCCAATAGAAAAAGAATAAGAGAGAAACCCTAAGAATTTAGGGGAGAAGAGAGAGACATCATCTAAGTAGAAAAAGAGAGAGATGGGTACGAAAGATGAGTTCCCATTTTTTTTTTAGTTTGAATTTGAGAAGAAGAAAGAGAGATTTATCTGGGTGAGAAGAGGATGGAAAGAAAAAGAATCTTGAGATGATTGAGAAAGAGAGAGAGAAAGATATTATTGCCACGTATACTTAGACACGTAAGGGTGTGGTGGTTCTCGGTGGGTTTTGTTAGTAAACGTAGAATTATTGATCTATAAATGATGTTTGTTTAATAAGTTGGATTTTCTATAATGTACATACAATTTAGGACCGAGGGAGTAGTTAATATGCCAATGAAACACAATTCTTGATAGCTTACATTGATGTAGCACAAGAAAGAATGATAAAATACATTGGGAGTCAAAACTCACATTCCAACTTCCAAGAAGACCATTCAATTCTCAACAGGAAAATCTTGGCCTATCCTGCAGATGCATAAATTAAATGACGGGGAGTGGGACGATCTCGAAAATCTATTCTTCTTTGTGCAATAAAACCACCAATCTTTGAGTTGAGCTTATAACACCCAATTAGATCGACATACGAAGGTACATCAGCTACTAATCCTACCATATCAAACATGTTTTCAGCCAGATGATGAGAAAAATGAATATCTCACATCTTTCTGTGAGACCCCACCCGGTATTGGTCAAAGAAAGGCATGATATGAAGTTATGAACCCGATATTTCCAGGAATCTACAAGGGTTGAAATACTCAGTGGTCATAAAGCATTTTAATATTATTATCAAAGTTTTGATATTATTAATCATACTTTTCCGAATCGCCAGGTATATAAAAACATCAAAGACAACAAACCAAACAAAAAGAAATACAACTTACAAAGAAAACTGTAATGACACTCGTGTTGTTGCTGTATCATTCCCTGCAACAGTCATGTTGTTGTGCTGCAGAGTTTCAGCCCTATACACGTTGCATCTTCCCAGCAGATTCATTTACTGAATCCACTACCAGCTGATTATTGCTTATGCTGCCATCGGTT